TGTTGCATTCATTCATATTCGGCAGCCTTGATGTTATTACAACTTTCGGCTACTGATTTTTTGTGTGATTTGGTCTGATCATTCGGAGAGAATGGGTCAAAGGTTGGCTGGAACACGGAGATGAGGAAGGACGCTGTGCAAGGGGATATTTCTTACCGTAGTGATCGCGGGTGTCTTGGGCTTCCAGCGTGCGGTTCTGCTCAGGAATGGCCTCCATCACTGGCCTGGAATCTGATCATTTACAGAATCTGTAGATCTTGGTGGTGTCTGTAAATTATATAATTACAAATAGCAGAATGTTATAACGACGATGGAGGTTGGACACGTAGCACGCATAGGGAAATGCGAGACTCAAGTGTGCTTCGGAGGATGAAAGATGCAGAACAGGGTAACACTGGCTCCATAAAAGACAAGCTGAGATACTGTCAGCTTCCCAACAGGCAACACAGCCTCTGTTCTTTCGAGTTAGTCATGTTAGAGCAACAGGATGGATACCATTTTCTGGCCGTGTTTTGTAAATGCGTTGCACTTGGAAAACCTAAAATATTTTGACAGACTCGAGAACTGTTCTCATATTTCAGTTTGTTTTAATTTAAATTTGGGTATTTCTTAACATAAAAAAAGGTTTGAGGACATTAATTTTTTAGGGTTTTGTAGTAACCTTTAATTCAAGACACTGAGGAGCTGTTAAACATGTGTTTTCACAATAGCCGTACATCCTTATTGCTGTATTTTTTCGGTTCCAAAAAGGCGGGCTTTACAGCGTAATAACCTTTGTAACCCCCACGACTGTAGGACGTTGAAACATGGCTGCTGGAGTAGCAAATTTTGATGGCATTTGGACTAAAACTTTTTTTCTTCAATACAGCACAATTTCCATTCCAATTTGGTACTCACCCGTATCTTTACTATACCCAAAGTCCAGAGAAACTGACACTCAGCGCGGAATCCGAAATACACGAAAGCAAACCGCCATATTGGTCCCGGAATTCTTTTGAAGACGGTCAATACGAACCTCAGTTAAGCAAAGTACAGAAATTAAATGATAGATGGCAGAGCGTTACTCATGTTCGCCACCTGGTAAATGTAAGCTGAACTACTGTCTCGGCAGCTCGGTAGGTAAAGGAGGAAGAAGACGGGTCTCATGGGACATTTCAACGTATACTGGTTGAAATTTGCCGACTTTTCAGACGAACACTTTGTCTCTGTCTTCAGGACTGATGTTTGGTATCTGCCCACAATTCCACACGACATTACAGCCCAAAAACCAACATCGACCTGTAAGATTTCTCGGCATTAAAAGTCCCATTTAGTTAGTTATATTGAACTGAAACATACAACTCAATGTCAGATTTCAGAGGAAGAACTATAGAAATTGTGCTGGATATGATCATATTCGTTGCTTTGCCCTTTAAGGCACGGTGGTAAGTATATGTACCACCTGCTTGAACATTGGAAACATAATATTTTTACCAGAGTTTTTATTATTTCCCACGATTCTCGGAATAGAAGGAGGTTATTTCCTTCGACATCGTTAACCAGTTGTCCTTTTTGTAATGGAAATGCGTTGTTTCCGGTTTGGAATGAATCGTCAAGTATCGTACAGATTGGGTTCATGCATCTGAGGGCTAATTTTACTGTTCGTGTGGCCATTTTAACAAGATTCAACGAGTTTTGTGCCTACACATAGCAGCACGCGGCCATACGAAAAACTGTTTTCGTAAACCTCCGTGGATTGTAAACAATGTTAAAAGTTCTGGTCGAACAGGCCAGGCCCGTCCTAGCGAGTAGCATACGCTGAGGGAAAGGAGTTATTGGGTCGAGAACTTTCTCCACCGTAACTCGAGACACACGACAATGACATCATCAGCCTACAAGCATTTTTTCTAGGTAGTACCAAATCTTCCAGTATATCGACATTTGAAAATATGGTGTTCCCGGAAATTGTAAAATATTTAAAAAGGGTTCTTTATGCAAAACTTCGTAATTGGTTGTTCATGTGTGACGCCCTCGCGATATATATTTTGGAGCTGCTGGAGCAAATGTGACAACACTGTACTGTGCATTATGTGAACATTGTCGTCTCTTAAATAAAAATCTTGGGAATCGGTTGGACTTCAAGAAACAACAATTATTTTAACACATGCTTAGATTATTGGAACTCAACAATGACTCACAATTACAAAAATGAACTTGTGGCACATGTGCAGGCGGTGGAAATTCGAACGCCGTCGCAGCTGCTACAATTGCGGGTTCGTTCGTTATTGTTTATGAAATCCTTGATTGTGCAAGCTCAACAGATAACGCACGAGGAAAACCGGTTACTATCTGCTCGCACAGGAAGCAGGACGGCGGAGTGACCAGCCCCATACGCGCCACTAGAAACCAAAACAAAGCCCCTTTGAAATGACTGCACCTGCGATGTTGCCAAATTATGTGCCATGTAGCCTGACTAAATAGCCTTCCATGATGGAGGCAGACCACACGGCGCAACTACCCAGAAGACAGCCATCTTGGTCACCATCGTCACGTACCCTGCAAATGCACAAACATCACAAACACAAAAGAAAAGAAAAAATGGGTCTGTCTGCTCTTCCTTAGCACGAGATTATGTAGAATCAGGCGCATTTGCAGGTCGAGCAATTTACTCAAGATGAGAGCCAGCAAACTAACGCGAAGTTCGAATGCTGCTCGATCATCGACGATGAGTCCTGTTGAAGCAAACCTTAATATTCTGCTACCAATTCAATTGAAGTGAATTGACAACAAGGCAAAAAGTTAGCTAAAGTGCCTAAGACATTATTGTATAGGTTAGTGTAGTCTTCTAGACGACCAGCCGGGACTAGACGGTTGAAGAGAAGCAACACGACTGAAGGTTCCTCACGACGGGCAACGCAGTGCTGGCCGGTGGTGGGACTCGTCTTCGAGTCGCGTGACTGGTAGCTGGCTTGCCATTGGCTAATTCAATTGCAGAGTCGGCAAACCTCACGAAGATAATTCTCCAAGGTCCACTCTGACGGCTAAAACAAGTTTTATTTTCTACGTCGTCACTGTGGATGCGCTTATTAAAACTTATTGAACCCACGTAAGCTGCTGGCTGTCCCGAGGATACTGAATGGTGTAGTCTGTTGGATATTGACCCTCGTAGCACCTGATAAGTTTATCTTTATTCTGTTTCTAATCCAGGAGATCACGTCATTTTCCGTCACTTGGCTGGATGACGTAATATCCCCATGGTGCGTAGTGTGTGTAGTCCGACTTCAAGTTTGGTCCCCTATACACCTGGTAGGAGAAACAAAATGAAGAGTAATTAATTTTGCGTCGTTTTGGCAGGTCGATTTAGTTCGTATCGACTCGAAAATGTGGTCAAACACAGGGGAGTGCGTAAGAGTGATGGCTGAAGTCGAAGGTTCAACACCCCCAGGAATATCTGATGTTTACGTCATTTTTCACCTTCCACTCGCACTTGCAGCCAACGTCTTCCAAGAGGTTTCCCTATCAAAATTCTTGATACAGCCCATCGTTTCCCTGTGGTGAGATCGCGACATTTAAAACGGTGTCAGAAGGAAGTGCAGAATAACCTTCGGAGGTTCGATGTATGTCTGTCTGTCTGTGTCCATAATGAGGGACTAGGCTCCCAAATCTCACCACTCATTGCGTACTGACGTGGTTGATCGCCCGAGGAGACTTAGGTTCTCTGACTTGCCCGATACATAATTAGCCTAATTAAGTTTACAATGTTGGATGAGACTCCATGGTCTGATGTCCGCTCCTGAATATTTTTACATTTGTTGTCACATTTTTACATCCTCTACTTTCCTTTGAATCATAATGCTGTCCGATCCCCCCCCCCCCATTTCTCATCATACGCACTTTTATATATCCCAGTTTCTTGCAGTTTTTCGTAATATTTGTTTATTGCTACCCTTGTAATTCCTATTTCGGGCTTAATATGTGTGAATATTTTGTCTCCATCCAATTTTTTGTTTTCTCACGTCTCCTTCTTTATTACACATAGGACGCATTCCCCGTACAACCCTCCATTTCTAGCCTTTGGGTGCATATTTTATTTTCCCATCTGCCCTTCAATTGACTGCAACATTTATACCGTTAGTCTCTTCTGCTCTTTCAACATTTGATTCATTATCTTGTCTCTTTCTACACGCACCCCCCATACCCAGAATTTCTAATTCCCTTTCTCAAAACTTCGTCGTGTCAGTGCATCGCCCAACAGTCTTTGTCTGCCGGTTTGCCCTTCCTGGTTGTTCTTCACAGCTCTAGCACAAACTCCGTTGCTGTCGTGCCTGGCTTCACCATCCCTTATTTTACAACATAACCCATAAACTTTCCCTATTTCTTTCTGGCCATTATCCAACCCCCAAATTTCCACCCCTACTACCGAGTTACATAATTGTTTTACAACTTTGACCTTGAATTCTGCACCCTAGCTGTAGCCCTCCCTTTCTGCCCACTGTCCAATTTTATTTCCTTTAATACCCCAACCCCTGTCCACCGAACCACCAGTTTTCACCCCTACTCAATTTCGGCCCCTTCGTAAACAGGGACGTCTTTGTTTTAGTTGCATTTATTTAACTTCAGATTCCACTCGTAATATTATAATTATTTTCAATACTTTGTGCAATTTTTTGTGTCGGTGACGTCGCAGGCCTGCTGTATTTTTAAAAATGGGTGACCAAGGACTTTGTTTTTAACGAGAGGCGGACGTTTGTCCTGTCGTCTGTCCCTTTCTTACTTGTATTTTAACTCTCCCAGGCAGATCCTGCCCGCCACCGAAGTGGTCTCCTTCCCCGTAGTAGCTGGTGGGATCGGAGGCCCCGAAGCCGTAGCCGGTGCTCTGTGGCGTCACATATTTCACAGCAGGGTAGACTTCCCGTCTTCCTCCCCCAAAAGTGGGCCGCGTAGGTGATGACTCGTATCCGACGTCGACGTCTCGCTGCCCTTCCGCAACCTCGTAGCCGTGGTTCGGGGCAATTACGGAGCCCACCGCTGCCAGGAACAGGAGAGCCTGTAACAGTTGAACCTGCTATTCGTGACCCCGACTCGTTCCACCAGCCTTGCTTGAAATCACAGGATTCGGACAATCGATGAAACATCGTTACACTTAACTACGCTGCAGATAAAGTGACCTTCGTCTCTAACAAAATGTCAGGACAGTGGGCTTCGTTTTTCTTCCTGTGTAGGACGAAACAAAGCTGCACCTACTTCCCCCCTTTACCCACTACTCGAAAACCATTTTGCCCGATGACTTACGTTTCCTGTCGTGGACATCACAAATAAAAACGCTCCCACGTTCGGAGTTTTATTAACACGTAATGAGGAAAGACGTGGCCGACTTCGGTATTTATACGTTTTGCGACGTTCCACATTTTCTCTCGCAGCCGGTTGAGGAATCAGGTCAATGTAGACTTACTTGCAGATTTCAAAAGACAATGCGTCACGCCACCAGTTAACGGCGCAGTGCGTATCCCACTTACCCACAAAAGAATATTGACTGCGTCATTTGCCTTGCCGGCAGAGAGAGTCCTGTACTAACTGATTCTACTTCTTCATAAATATCATCGCTTTAGTCCTCAGTTGGGACATGAACATTAAGGAGAACGATATCGCACCAACGTCCTTCTAGAATTTTATGTAACTCTCTTAACCGCTGTCTTAATTTTGCCGTCGACAAAAATCCTGTCCCTAACTGATGATTTTCATTCCCCTTTCCACAGAAAAACGTGAAATTTTCCGCCGGGATCGCGCCATCCCCCTCCCGTCGCACCTCCTGCACTGCCACAAAATCTAACTCATAATTCTCTAATTCCCACGTTCCACATCACAAATCGGTTTTCAATTGCCAGAGTCCGTCCAATTTCGAGGTTTGGTTAACTTTTTTGTAACAAGAGACTTTTTGCGGTGAAAGGTTGTTAGCCTGATGCCCAACCACCAAGCTGGAGGACCAGCCCTTGTCGGCTCTCCGCGACTGCTTATTCAATGTATTCGCAGCTAACCTCCATAACAGGAGGCTGCTCTCTGGCGTGCAGTTTTAAGTAATTTCAACTAGTGCAGAAGATATATATATATATATATATAGCACTTTATTTGAATGCAGTTAGAATTCTTAACAACAATAACTTTATGAACCACATTAAGTTACTAATATCCTGAAACTGAGCTGGTTTAAACCCTATACGAAATTGTTATTCATTTTAATTTTATTTGAGAGTAAATTTCTGCTCTCTGGCGTGCAGTTCTAAGTAATTTCAACTAGTGCAGACGTTGAAATTTGAGGTTATCATAGTGGTGAAGGTCTCAGTGTTGGTCTTCTGAGTAGTAATGCTTCATCTCTGAAGATGGAGGCAACATATTCCTCTGAAACATTGGTATCTGCCTGTAAGTCCATGCAATGTTACTGTCCAGATGTCCAACAGGAAGTTCTGTCTTCATGCACAGTGGATGGTACGGACTGAGTAAAACCAGTCACATATTCAACATGTAGAGCAGGGGCAGCGTCCAAACGCTCGTCTGTGATTCTCAAACAGATGCTGTGGATGGCAAAGGAAAACTTCTCTGCCAAAAAGCAAATTTAAAAACAGGAAAAACTAATCAAATGTATTAACATTTGGGTATCGTACGTTTTGAGAACTGTTCATTCCCTCCAGGCCGGTGACTTAAAACATCAAAGATATTTTCATTAAAAGATTTAGAGATAACCCGAGGAGATCATTTTGAAGGTGATCACCAGACACGGCTTCTGCATTTACAGTAGAATTTTCTGTAGCTTTATTAATAGTCAGACCTCCAGTTACAGGTGCATTCAAACTCAGGACTCTTTTAAAATTTGCAGCAAACATCCTGACATTAGAACACACCGCTACATTCATGTTAACGCTAATAGAGACGTATTTTCACGGAGACATCGATCTGCCGTTTCAAGTCAGACACACGGCACAGAACCTGTTGTATGTAACAAAATTAATTTTATTCCTTAATTAAATAAATCTGTGGTCGTATAAGAAAAGTGGGTTGTGTCCCTAAAAATAACTTTTCAGGATAAATAATTCATTTTTCACTTCATCCATTTAACAAGAATTTCTTTGTGCAATTGTGTGTCATTTGACTGAATGTCTGAGGACATGGATAAACTTCGGTGTGTGTTACGTCAACTAAAATCTCCTCACAAAATGCCTCATGACTAAATGGTTCATTATTCATCACCATCCGATTAAGGGGAACAGACACCTGAAGTGGCTGACATTTTTTAAAAAGTATCTCCTCCAAGATGGCGTGTGGCGGCTTTAATAGTTCAAATGTACATTGGTAGCGGGCAGAATGTACCAAAAGCAAAATTACGCATCATCCTGACACTGCAGTCACGTCATTATTCATTGTATGAGGTGGTTAGTGCATGGGCTCAGAATTCAAAGGGGCTTGGACCCACTTACATTTATATCAAAAATAAAAACAGCAAAAATCTGTCAATATGACAACTGATTGGGGTAGAGCCGACAAACAAAATATTTTTTTATTAAATATATCTCAGACAATGGAAACACTCAACATAATTTACGTGCAATTAAAATTTTAGGTTAGATCATTAAATCGTTTATGTATTTCATTCTCCTACATAAATGTTATAATATCTATAGGAACAACAGAAGTAAATTGATGGATGGTATGAAACTTCTTCTTGCCATAAATTCAGTAAGCGGTTGGGTGCACACCCCATTCTCGATGCACCTAACAGTTTTTGGGGAGAACTTCTTTCCACCAGTTATCTTGATAATGATACTTCTGTATTTCAATTCCTTCTCTGGGTACAGGGAACACAAAACCTCCAAACTCCTTAACTGGTAGCGGTTGCGCGATGAGTCTCGGAGGAAAACAGTTCAGAGATGTCATCTCCTCGCAGTCTGGCGGCAACATTCGATGTTTCCATCCCACACGACGTAACATGCCAATCTGACATAAACATAAAAAAGAATTATACATATGAATTTATGTTCTTCTTCTAGTATTGTTTCTGTTGATATGGGTCAATGAAACTAATATCTGTGAAAGAGGAAATTAAAATAATGCACCGTGTCATCATGATCGGATCGCTCGGTCCCCTGCAAATGGCACCCCAGGGCTTAATACTGTCAACTCTGAAGACAAACCTTAGACTAAGATTAAAAGGGTTTGATCTTTTAATTGTCATATCAGAGTCGGGCAACTGCAAATTCACGTGGAGCTACAAACCAGAAGACCAACACAAACTTTGTATTTTGTATTATATACTACCAGGGCGTCGCATGACACCGAGTCTTGTAAATATCGATTAGATCACTTATGGGCAACTATTAAAGAAACAGCGCGGGAAAACGCTCACTTTGCTGTATATATCTGGGTTGGTCTCTTAGCAACGAGAACAGGCAGAAATGTTGGGAGGAAAGAAATTGGCTTGACAGAGGAATTCTGTATTACATTTTATTATCAGGTCTCCATTTCACAACATTGAATTTCCATGGATTATAACTATTATACATTACCAGTGGATCCTCCTCAAAAACAACGAGTTGAACGGACGCACCACTGAACACAGGGTCCCTTACGGAATACAGCCCCTCCCCCGAGTTGTACGTTAATTGAAGATTATGTTTCTTAAATGTCCGAACTAGGAATACTTCATCATATTTTGTCAGTTCTTCATTAAGAAGACAGAATTCCACATCAGCTTCCCACGGTAATGACCGCGAGATTCGTATCTGACCCCATAATGAGCCGTAACACAGAAAATGTGTGAGGCCCAATGTAGACAGGACATGGTGAACTCTGAGAAATAAAAATGTACTAAGATGAACATATTTCAGTCAGCTTATCTAAGAGGTAATTTTAAAAAATCAGCATTCAAACTAAGCACTTCTCTCTCCATTTGCAACGTGGTACTGCAATTTTGCTGGTCCAATCATATTTGTTCTTTTTCTTTTGGAATAATCATGTCAAACTGGTTCTGCAGAAAGCAAGTAGGATACTGGAAGTAATGTGCAAGACTTGTAAATTAAAGTGAATGAAAATGTTAATACAGCTTGAAGGAACATTGCCAAAAGAGAATGAGTGCTCTGGACACCCATTTTTGTTTTTAAGGAAAAAAGTATACAGTCTCTGTAAAACTACATTACCTGTTTGCAAGTTTGTGAAGTTCCTCTTGGAACTGCTCAGGATGATGACATGTCTGTGTGAACTGTTTCACCTGACTCTGCCTTAATACAGTCCACATAAGTAAAACAACAGTTGACAAGCAGAGTGCTGATAAAGCGCGAGTTAGTGTAATTCTCATGCTGAAACCAACAAAACCCAACACTTACTAATACACATAAAACTTCTGCATACAGTCCTTTAAATAATTATATATTTTACACTTGTAAGACTTATTTTTGGATAAAAAAGGGGTGCTGAAAATATGTAACTGCATCAAAGACACATATTATAAATAAGTCTGTTAAAGGATATGTCATGGGCATTAATATTCTTAGGTCATAAAGGCTTGTTGAATGCTGCTATTTAACTACTAATGAAGTTATTTAACATTTCAAATGATGTACATTACAATCAATGATGGGTGGATATTTTAAAACTTCAAACACCTAGCTTGTCAGTGTTTGCTTTCTAGAGACAGTGTTTTATAACCTACCTGTCTGTTCTTTGTCTAACACAATCACTAACTGGACCTCACTGTCATATTTTTATTATATATTTATACTATTTTTATTCAGATATCAATGATAACAACGCACCAGCTCCTTGTGTTTCAATTAGAGAGGTATAAATGCATCTTCATCATCACGAAACAATTTATTGTTATTAAATATAGCAATTTCTTGGTTATGTGTGTTCACCAAATCTTATGTGGTTCACATACTGATCCAACCCATTTCCAATTACGACAAGAGCCGCCATAATGAAAGCCATACCATCCATTACCACATTGACAGGTTAGCCACGTTTACGGAGAGACATTACTATGTCATAGTTCCAACCTCTGTTTAAGGGTGGGACATATGTGTCCGCAATATTTGGTGTTTGTGAGACATTTCAGCAGTTTTCGATAGACTTTGGGAATGGCTGTACTTTATCTTTTGTGTTTTTTGGAGTTACCTTTCAATCCCCTGTCTTCTATATCAAATGTAAACAATAGTTTTGCAATGGACGGGGAGGGAGGCGTATTACACGTTTACTTAATATGAACAAGAATTTTTCTATTTTGCTTCATCCAAAGTTTTGCGTTGCAGTTGGTTAAGCAGTTGCTTTGTTAATTCAAAAGTAAGTGGTGAGGCGTAGTTACTTAAATAGGGTAACGTTTCGTAAGGATGGTCACACTGATTCTGCTGGTTGCCATCTTTACTCTCCCAACGACGCGATTGTATGTCGGTGAAAAGGTCTGTCTGCATGCGACATCTATGAGCAGGAGGAGAAACTTAATCTGATGACGTTACGTGTCCCCGCAAATCAATACCTTCAACTAACTGTTTTGTTGTAACAGGTTTATAGCATCATTAAGTCTCTCTCTCTCTCTGTGTGTGAGTGAGAGAGAGAGAGAGAGATAGACTTAACTCCCCCCACACAATAACAACATTGAAAAGAAGACGATGTGATTGAAACTCGGATGAATTCCTATCCTACACTCTTCGTTCCTCAAGGAGGAGGCAGCCTGTGCTACCGAAACGTCGGCAGCACATTTTGGTTTCAGACGTTGCCAGCACCTAACCCCCAAATTAAATAACACGGACATCGAATGATTATGAAAGCGTAAAATCAGTTGTTTCCGTGAATGCTCACTTAAGAATTTCACACGATTTTAACGTGCAAATTTCGGAATTGTTTGAGACTTCCAAACATTCGCGTGTCCGGCGTTCCTCCTTTCAAAGTTACGTCAGAGTCATTTAACTGTGAAGCGATCGAACCACGGTCTGGTCAGACTTTAGGTACGAACTAATAAAGACGATGAGGTAAGCCCCCAAGAGCGTAGAGACTTAGGAGCCAACTGATTTGTAAAACTTTCTTAAAATCAGAGTTCATCTGACTGCAGAATTCTGTATAACTGGA